ATGGCACTGGGCTGTCCTGCAAATGTATTGTGAATAACTGCATTCGTGTGATCTGCTGTTGTTATAGGTGTTTAAAAGAATTGTATTCCTCTGATTGTTCGGTAGAATCATTCGAATAAACTAAGGGAATGAAACTACTGAACAATCAGACCTCCCCTGTGTAAAGTGTGTCCTCAATTACCCGTTGCAACATTGTTGCGAACGGGTAATTGACAAGTTAAGTAGCCGTCCTTTGTTCTCAGGGGTGGCCACCATTCGACAAACGAACACGTGGCGGCGGCCATTTTAAAACTCCCGAACAGCGGTGTTTTGCTGTCGAGTGTCTGGAACTCAAATCGGACACTCGACTAGGTGAACACCACTGAATCCTCCACAAGCCCGGTCCGTTCGGTTCCTAACTACCGAACGGCCCCTCGTTCGGTAGATAGAAAGAACCGAACGAGGGGATTCAGGCGAACCCTCCCTAGTCTCTATAGCTAAAGGATTTCGTGCAATTTGTTCCCTTATTCCAGGACCGACCGCAGGGCCCATTCGCATGGAACCGCATTCGGCTATCTCAGTCATTGCGGTCGGTCATTTTGTTCCCTCCATACATTTCCCGAACCCCTGGTCTGATCTGGGTGATTTTTGGATATGTTGCTCACCCAGATCAGGGCTATCAGGGGATGTAGGATTTAAAGGGGTACCCCTACGTTTAGGGGTACATCCAGAAATGGGGGGGAATTGCTAGACTGGATAAGGGGATTATGATGCACGCTGAGGGGAGGAGATGTGTGGGAGGTTACCAGGACAGGATTGGCTACTGTACTAATGATTGTAAATCCCTCCCTTGCTTTGGAGCATGCTTTAAAAGGACAGTGTGGATTAAAAGATTTCAGTTCTGCTCCTGAAACTGTGTGTCGTCCAGTTATTGGGATTGCTGTTGGGATATTGCTGTTATTTTACCTGCTGGAAACCTTGCCTGTGGATTTACTATTTACTTGTTCCTGAGCCCCACTTGGATTATAAGCGGAGATAACCTGGGGAATATTGTATCTCTGCTACAACCCTACTAGCGCTATAGAGAGTAGAGGCATAATTTACTAATACTAAGTAATCTTTACTTAGTATTAGTAAATTTGGTTGAAAGACCAATTTAGGTCTTTCAGCCTTTTAGTAGATAGCTCCCTAATACCATGGGAATTAGGGAGTTATCTACTTATTCATTCCTGTCATTACATTGACTGGCTAAGTAACTTACATTTTATATGAAGGTATGTTACTTGATTGTTGTAAGTGTTGCAAATGCTTACAGCTGAATCCTGGCTATGTTTGTGTACTTTTTATTTAAAATTGTATACAATGTAACATTCTTCTTCTTCCACTGGGTAAGTATATTCGTACTTAGGCAATACTGTGCTTCAGAACTTCGGCTATTCGGCACTTCGACAATTTGGTAATTTCGGAACTTCGGTAATTCGGCTATTCGCACATTCGGAAGTACCCGAATGTCCGAATTGTCCGAAATTTGTCCAAATTCATATTCGGACTGAAACAAAATGCACATGTCTAGAAACTATGTTAAAGCATAGGATGGTTGAACATCTAAAATCACATGGATTTCAAGATCAGACACAACATGGGTTTACTTCAGGGAGATCATGACAAACTAATCTTATCGATATTTTTAATTGGGTAACTAAAATAATAGATCAGGGTGGTGCAGTAGACATTGCTTACCTAGATTTCAGTAAGGCTTTTGACACTGTTGCACATAGAAGGCTTTTCAATAAACTGCAATCTTTAACCCCTTAAGGACCAGCCTGTTTTGGCCATGTTGTACGTTAAGGACCAGAGCGTTTTTTTTTTTTTCAATTTGAAAATAAATTTTATTGTTTTGATTGTCAAGTATCTTTGCGGCGCCTGCTCGCCAGGGTACAGAAAAGAAAAGGGGTAGTGCAGGAACAATAGTTAACATTGGTGTTACACAATGACCATTCTGTATTTTCCTTTTTATTATCAACCGGTACTACTCATCACTTTAGGGCTGTCTCCCTTCGTGCTTGTCCCCTGTTCTGGTTAATGGTTATGTGAGTATGTGATTCTGACCTCTGCGTCTGCTTGAGACGTTCCATGTCTGTTATCTCTTTATAACTTCTTATTGGGTTAGTGACCCTCTGTTTGACCTTTCCTGGTTATCCCCATCCTGGATTATTCTCGCGTCGGACCCCTGTAGTGCTACTGGACTCTGATTCCCCTCTGACCTCTCTCTGTATTCCCTCCATCTTTCCCCCCGCTTTTTTAATGTTTTTCTGTGGTGTCAAGTGTTTGAAAGCCATTAGTTCATACTTCCAATTGGTTTCTGCTTGATTTATTAATGTTTGCCTGTTCGGTACCTGGGTTGATTTCCATGCTCTGGCTAATAGTGTTACTGCAGAAATCAGCATGTGGAAAAGCAGTCGTTCCTCTATTTTGTCTAATGTTGGGGGAATCATAAAGAGTACGCATTGTTCAAGGTTAAGTGGCCATTGTCTGCCTATCAACTTCCCTATCTCTTTTTCCAGCATTACCCAGAGTGGTGCTAGTCTCTCGCATGACCACCATATGTGTCCCATTGTCCCTCCCTGGGTCCCACACCTCCAGCATCTATTGGGGGAGTCTGGGTAGATTTTGGATAGCCTCTCTGGTACCATGTACCACCTGTATTGTAGCTTCCTTATAGTTTCTAAGTGTGTGGAACATTGTGTGCTTCCCTTGTGAATTCTAAAGGCCCTCTCCCATTTTTCCGGTGTTAGGGTGTATCCCAGTTCCCCGTTCCACGCTTCTTGGAAAGGCATAACGGTGTCCTTTGGCTCGTTGTGTAGCTCCTTGTACAGTGTAGATAGTATGCGTTTGGTTGGTTTTGGTGAGAGGCATAGTTGCTCTAACTTACACCCTTGTTGCTGTGGTGTGTTTTTTACTTCCATTCCCTTGAGAAAGGACTTCAATTGTAGAAATGGGAATATGGCTCTGTTTGGGAGGTGGTATAGTTCTTGGAGGTCTGGAAAGGTCATTAACTTTCCTTCTTTGTATAGATGTGTGACTGTGGTGCACCCTCCGTCTCTCCATTGTTTGTGGTCAAATGTTGGGATTCCTACCACGATCACGGAGATCGCGGCGTTCCCTGGTATACTGTCCCGGGCCCCCTCCCTGTCCTCTGTCTCATCCCAGATTGTCAGGGTTGTTGAGGTGGTCGGTAGGGGGTCGATGAGGACCAGAGCGGTTTTAACACTTTTGTGGTGTTTGTGTTTAGCTGTAATTTTCTGCTCTCTCATTTACTGTTCCCATGCAAATTATATATTGTTTTTTTCACGACAAGAAGGGCTTTCTTTACATACCATTATTTGTATCATGTCATATATTTTACTTTAAAAAAAAAAATATATAAAAAAACATGTTTTTGGACTTTTACTTAAAAAAGCTTTTACTTATCTACAAAAGGTAATGAAAAAAACTGCTAAATAGATTCAACATTTTGTCCTGAGTTTAAAAACACCCAATGATTACATGCTTGATTTTTGCAAGTTATAGGGCTATAAGTACAAGTAGGAAATTGCTGTTTCAATATTTATATATTTTAAATTTATCAATAGTGACATTGTAACACTATTATCTCTCATAAATCCCCGAATCACACCGCACATGTACATATATTTTTTAAAGTAGACAACCCAGGGTATTCAATATGGGGTATGTTCAGTCTTTTTTAGTAGCCACTTAGTCCAAATGCAAAAACGCTAACTTTGGCCAGTGTTTGTTATTAAGTGGCTACTAAAAAGGGCTGTACATACCCCATTTGCAATACTTTGAATTGTCTTCTTTTGTAAATGGTATGTCATCATGGGAGTCATTCTCATTCCTGAGCTATTATAAGCTCTCAAAGGCAACATAACCAGTCTGACAAATTTGAATGAAAAAACAAAAATGTAAAATCAAGCCTTATATTTGACCCTGTAACTTTCATAAACACTATAAAATTCTTTACATGTGGGGTACTGTTATACTCAGGAGACTTCACTGAACACAAATATTAGTGTTTCAGAACAGTAAAACGTATCACAGCAATAATATCATCAGTTAAAGTGTCGTTTGTGTGTGAAAAATGCTAAAAATTTCACTTTCACTGACAATATCACCGCTGTGATATGTTTTACTGTTTTGAAACACTAATATTTGTGTTCAGTGAAGTCTCCCGAGTAAAACAGTACCCCCATGTACAGGTTTTAAGGTGTCATAGAAAGTTACAGGGTTAAACACAGTGCTAGCAAATTAAATTGTCGGACATTTGGCCTGGGTTGTCAGGCAGGTCCCTCAAATTGCAATCAATAAAATTACTTAATTATGTATAAATATTACATAAATATGCACGTAGAATTTAAATATATATATATATATATACATATTTATATATTTGAAGTCTACGTGTATATTTATGAAATTATTTATGTAATTATGTATATGGCCATGTGCATATTTCGTATTATATTTATTTATATATACATAGATATATATATATATATATATATGTGTGTGTAATTTTATTCTAATGGTATTTTGATATAAATATATATATATATATATATATATATATATATATTATATCAAAATACCATTAGAATAAAATTACACACACATATATATATATATATATATATATATAACATTTTTATTTTATTTTTAATTATTTTTATATTTTTAAATGTATTATTATTTATATTTTATAATAATATATATATACAATATATAGTTATTATATATATATTATATATATACACACGTGTGAAATTTAATTATAAGTGTCTGTTTATATTAATATATGTATATATAAATATAAAAATATACTTAGTTTGACATTATGTATATAAGATATATATATATATACATATTAAACAAGGGGGGGTTGGCTGCACTCACCTGAACATGCATAAATGGGGGTGCTGCTGGGGGCCAAATAATACAAAACACAACACACAAGATCCAGCGCACTCCCCTATCCACTAAACAGCAACTTCAATGTTGAAAGATTTTAAAATCTTTCAACATTGAAGTTGCTGTTTAGTGGATAGGGGAGTGCGCTGGATCTTGTGTTTTATATACATATTATATATAGATATAATACATGTATATATATCATATATATATATACATATACTTATTTATTTATTTTTTACACTGATTGCTTTTTTTAAACTTTTTATTTTTATTTTACAGCAGCAGGGAGACTGCCTGTCAGCTCAGGCAGTCCACTTGCAGACAGATACACAGGCACCAATTGCGGCCATGGGATCGCTCTGTTAGACAGGCAGTCCCCCCAGACCAGGTGAAACGCTGACCGCCGCCGGGGGAACGACGGCGATCAGGTAAGTACCCCAATACCGTTATGACGGTTCAGGACCGTCATGGGTCCTCAAGGGGTTGTTTCAGATGACAGTCCTGAACCGTCATCGGTCCTCAACGGGTTACGTTTGGATTCCAATATTGTTGAATGGGTAAGGCAGTGGCTGAGTGACAGGCAACAGACGGTTGTAGTCAATGGAGTATATTCGAAGCATGGCCTTGTCACCAGTAGGGTACCTCAGGGATTTATATTTGGTCCTATAATCTCAGATTTTCGTATATATATATATATATACACACACACACACACACACACTATCCACATATAACTTACTAATATTATATGAATCATATATAATTAGTACAATGTTAATAATATAGAATATTCATGGATATAATATCAATGAAGAAACGTCATGTTATTTACTAACGTTAGTGGAATATGTGTAATAGACATGTATAAATAATATTAACTATGTAGCTACACACAGGGTTACCAATGACAGATAACACTAACTAATTAATTTTACTTTCTAAAAAAGAGTTGCATTGTAAGGAAAGCTGAAATTAAGGCTACACCTGCCAATTCTAAAATTACGACCGAAAAACCAGACGCTCTGGCTGGTTGAAAACGAACCAAAGCCTTTGAAGATGACCGCTTCTGTGAAGAATATTAGCCATAAAAAGATAACCAGATGACGTCAAATACATCACGAAATTCAGTTAACCCATTATACAAAAAGGTAAATGGACCACCTGACAAGAATTTTCGGTGATGTAATTGCGCCATCTGCTGACCAAAATCTAGATGATTCTGTAGGAAAGACATGCCCACAGTTCTTTATTGGTCCTATCAACTAGTGACGTGCAGAGAATTTTCTGCTTTAAAAATTAAGGACAAAGGAGAGAGAGGAACATTTACACTCTGATACTGGTCTCAAGACTCTCAGACTCTCAAGACTTACACTCTTAGACTCTTAAACTTAAAAATCACTCTTAGACATAAACTCAAGACTCACACTTAACATCTGGACCTGACATCTGGAGCCAAAGCTAATTCTTTATATTTTTCCAACTAACAACTTCAGAACTCTGGAAAACTTTTCTATTTCATACAATTCTCTAACCATCATACTTGCATTCAAAATTCCTGGGACATATCTACACATCTGATAGAACATCTACAACCTAACTGGTAATTTTGCTGGGTTTAGTTAATTTAATTTAATTAAATTAATTAATTTTAACTAATAGCAGGAATATATATCTGGATAAATGTTAGTCAGATTTCAATTATTAGAAATCATAATTAGCTAAGGAATATATGGTTATAAAAATTCCTTTCCTGCAGGTGGAATAAAGATGATGATATATTAATGGTAAATTTACCAAATGTAAGCATACTAAATTTTTATCCGGAGGTACTGACTTGTTCTGATATTAAAGATAGTGAATCTTAATTAGGAAAGTAAAAATTCTACAAACGTAAAATCTGGTTGGAATTATTCTTATTGGATGGACATAGGAATGGTAAATGATCTGGTATGAGAATCATTGTAGTTGTAAAATTGCAATATAATAGAATATCTTGCCTATGAGGATTGTAGCTAGCAGTGAAAGAGTTAATTCAGTGTGATTTGACTGTCAGCCAAAGTTTTTATTGCTTTACGCTGTGCTGCTGTGAGATGCTGTGTTTTGTGTTGAGTTGATTTCAAAGTAAATTGTCCTGTCGTAAGACTTAAACTGCATACGTGATGATAACTTGCTTTTAGCTGTCTGTAATTGTGTTAAACCATTGCCATATTGTATACTTTTGTTATACCTAAATATTCACTGAATATTATCATGCATGTTACATATTATTATTGTCACAATAAATTATATTTTTATAATTAATTTGTGATTAATGTGTGAAATAAAATCTTCTAATGGAACTTACTCTAGGATCTAGGAGAATTAAAATAGTGGGTAATTCTCAGGTTTAAATCATTAATCGGGGAAACAGTGCCAAGATATACATTTTTGATATAATAAAAATGATTAAATACATTTTTGATAATTTTTATGAAAATATTACTTTTTTATATTTATCAACCCATAAATATTCTCCCAATATTCAAAATAAACATTCATACATACCCACAGAATAATAATTAAGCCTCATTTTTATTATTGTTAGAATGGGACAAGCACAATCTTCCAATCGAGCTTAAACATGATGTGTGGAACAAGGGGACCACAAAGATAGGGAGATCCCCAGCATGATGACCTGAAAACAATAAGCAGGCAAGCGAGTAGGCACATGTGGGCATGGTATTGAGTGATGGCGTTCTGTCACAGGGGACTGTTCCTATGTTTAAGTCACCCTGTGTCCATTGTGGGTGCAGGGTGTGTGTATAATGTGGTTGTTTGGGGTTAAATGTTAGTGTGCGCTCCTGTCTTGCTAATGTTTGCAATCAACCAGTTGGATTTGGCTGTGGAGCCTGTACAGCGCAACCAGTTGGTTGCAAGGATCTAGCAACTGATGTATGCACTACCTGAATAGCAAGGATTGCTCATTTGCATATTCAAGTAGATTTGCATATTGCTGTTTCAGGAGCTAGTCCCCTCTCCTGTTCCAGCTGGGAAGGGTCCTTGGCGGAGGTACCTAGCCAGGGTACAGGCTATATTTTGATACGAATATATATATATATATGTTAATATCAAAATACAGTTAGAATTAAATGAAATATATTGTGACGGAGCTCCTGTTCTCTGACCGAGTACCTCCTCCCATTCTTGTTTTGTGTTTAATATTGTCTTCCCCACTCCTTTATAAATATGTTATGTTATTATAATTCCCTGTATGTTTTAGGACATGTTTTGGTTATTTGTATTTTACTAAGTGTGTTACAGCAAGCTCTATGTAATGAACGTATGGGCTAGTCACAAGTAAGATAAAGTATTACATGTCAGTTCCTATGGGAACTTGTGTCTTGTGTGGATTTTTAGCGATCCCCGTGACATAGTCTTCGGCGGTTCTGTTGGCTAGTTGAATGATCCCTCTAGCCCTGGGATAAATTAAGAGAGCTAGGCCTGAGAGAATAGTAATCACTGGAAGGGAAGCTGCAGTGGAATAGTGTCACATCATGCCTTGTTCTGTGGATCAGTCTGGTATCCAGTACTCTTTTTACAATTCTTGTTTAGTTTTTCTTGTTTTTTTTTTGGGGGTTTTCTATTCCATGTCTGGTTTTCCTTATGATGGGTTTTCTGTGTTCATTCCATTATTCCGTCCCTGGAATTCCCAGTCTCCTGGATTCATTTATATGTTTGTTTTATGTTGCCACACCCGTTTTTTTTCCATTTTCCTTTTGTTTCAGTCTGGACCTGAGCAGTGTTTCAAGCCTCTGCCCTTTCTTGCAGGTAAGTGCTAATGTGGTTTAGTATGGTTCTTTTAGCGTACATTAGGCAGTGTAGGACCTGCCAAATATGGGGCACATTGGCGGTGTGGCAGGCTTATGCAATGTATGATCATATAATGTAACTAAATCCCCATACTTTTCATATATAGTGCTTAGTTATGTCTCCTCTTGTTTTGCCTATTATATCTTGTCTTGTTTTATTTTGTAATCCCAGTTCATGTACAGTCCTGTCCTGCCCTGTTCTTGTTTTCCTCTTGTCTTGTGTACATGTTCTGGGTTCTGCTTCCTATCCTTCTCAGGGTTCTACTATTTCTGTCTTGTTTTCATGTTTGGTGACTATCCTAGCCTTGCCTTGTTTCTGTACTGGATACATGTCTGCTGCAGAGCCTCCCTATTAAGCTCCTGGGAGGTCTGCTTAATTTCCTAGTTCCTGGGATCCGCTGTAGCTGCATCAGGGTTCTGTTATGTGGCTGTGCAAACGCTGGTGCTCAACGCCAGAGGACGTGTGGTTACCCTGCACGCTGAAGACTCCCACTTCCCATCAGACACTCAGGGGTCCCGGTTTCCGTACCGTCAGCCGTGACAAATAGGCAGAGGGTACGATACCTGCTTGAAAGGAGAGGTGTAGCCTGGTTGGGTGGAAGAGCTCCAGAAGGACCAGAGTCAAGCTTTGGTGACTAGAACAAAAGCATTCCAAGGTCCCTGCAAGCAGCTAGGAAGAGGAATGGGAGGAGGTACTCGGTCAGAGAACAGGAGCTCCGTCACAATATATTTAATTTAATTCTAACTGTATTTTGATATGAACATATATATATTCGTATCAAAATATAGCCTGTACCCTGGCTAGGTACCTCCGCCAAGGACCCTTCCCAGCTGGAACAGGAGAGGGGACTAGCTCTATTTGCTCCCAGGGTCCGGTCGGCATTCAGTCCTGGTAGCTCTAGTCCTTACCAGGACTTTTCCCGCTAAATCCTCCACTGGCTGGAACAAGGTGCTAAGCAGTGATCATAGTCCTTTCCCCTCCCAGTAACTAGACAACACATAGCTCTGGGAGTACAACTACTGAAGTTTATTGGAACACACATGGCTTTTATGCCCAGTCCCCTACATGGAGTTTACAATACAGGACAACAGGGGTTTTCATCACAAACATACAGGGTCTTTTCTCCCAAGATCCTCTGTGCCTGAGAAATAATTGAGTGAGGAAACCTCTTTAATTTAATTATCCCTCAGGTTTAGAACAATCTACAATAGTTCCAAACCCCCACACATTTTAACATTTCAAAAAATGGTTAATTGATTGTATGGAAAGACAGAGCTTACAACCTGAGTTCCT